TTAATATATTCTATATTGTGATTAACATTTTTTGTATATACTTTGTTTTGACTAAATGCATCTGATTGGTTTAATTTTTGTCACATGATCATAAAACCGCATGTAATTTTCCAGACCCCGGAACAAACTTCACGACGAAGGGCCTTCGCTCGAAACATCAAAGTTTATCCTTGTATTTTTCAGGTAGTTGCAAAACTTGAGGGGGAGGGGGGGTGCAGAAAAAATTTTCACCCCCCCCCCCCTGCTCGCCAGCATTTTGGGGGGAAATAGTGGCCAGAAATAAAAAATTGCTGCAGGGCATCATCAGTTTTGGCAGGGTAATTCTGGCAGACACCCCCCAAATTAAAAGGGGCTAGTTTCGCCCCTGCTACCAAACAAAGCTTCAAATGTTTCTACTATGCATTGTGTGTGGCATAATAAATACACTTAGCACTTTACTGGGAATATTTAAACTCCAGTGTTTTGTGACTAAAAATATTTGTAGATTAATTTTATAACTTGAGATAAATCCTGATCACTAGGGTCGACAGACTGTGCACGTTAAACAGTTACTGTTAGACTGGCTACAATTTGCTGCTGTTGTCACATGAACATTTCTTGGTTGTTTGCTTATAAAACCACTTTCGTCCTGGCTATTGAATTTTTGAACCTAATTAATTAGCTATAGAAAAGAAAATTAAAAGGTAGGTTTAATCATTAGTTAGATTAATATGTGAGAGGTCTTAGACATCTACATCAAAATTATTGAGTGAAACTTTACAAACATTTATTAGACCTAATCAGGAACGACTGCGTGAAAAGCAACTATATGTCAATGGCAGGAATTGAACCTGCAGCAATGCTGCAGTGCTTTAATGGATTAAGGCCAGTTCATGTATTACTGTATATTACATAATATACTAGTTAAGGTACTATATACATATACACTAAGGTACTGCCATGACCCTAACCAATAAGAGAGCTCGACAACTGGCCTCTGTTGGTTAGAGTGCACACTGGAATCGCAGGTCTAATTCCTGCCAGGGACCTACAGTTGCTTTTTTCACTGCTGTTCCTAATTGGTTAGGTGTAATAAATGTATATAAATTTCCACTCGAAAATTTCCATGTACAAGACCTTTCAACTATTATTCAATGAGTGAGATGTCAACGGGATCTTAGAATAATATATAGGGCCTGTTCACACTTAGCTCACTATAAGATCGATCTGGCAAGATCGATCCGAGATCGATCTTATGGCGAACAATTATCATTTTTGCGTGCGTTCACACTACACGAAGCAATCTCGTTTCCTTGATACTTGAAGGCTTGGCTACCAAGCACGAAACTATATATCTAACTGGATGGGCAACCACCGAACTATATATTTATACTGGACCCAACATCCACTGAACGATTTATCTAACTGAATTGACAACCACTGAACTTTATATTTAACTGGATTGGCATCCACTGAACTATGTATCTAACTGAATTTACATCCACATCATGCCAAGATGGCGGCTGAAGAAATAGATGTGAATGTGATCGCAACTATTTTGAGTATAACCTCTGATTACCAGAAAAAGATACGGATGCGCCGGGTAAATTTCATGAAACATTACATGAATCAGCGAAACAAAAAAAAGCACAGGACATTTTATTTTTTGTGTTTGTGTGTCAGGTAATATAGTTTCGGTGTCATGTAATATAGTATAAATTATAAGATTTGAACCTTGTAAGATCATCGAGATTCTGTATGATGCTCCTAAAACTGTATTATTATTATTATTATTATTATTATTATTATTATTATCGCTGGTTTTTTACTTGAATCACATCTATATTTGTTTAAAATTAAACACAAAAGTTTCTAATCATGATTCGTTCAAGTTTTGTTGCTATGTTGCTCACTTGCGTCGTATGTTCATTCTGTGGCCAAGATTTTGTAACGCTTGGGCGACACTCATGGCGGTGTAAACAACGTATTAATCATGATCAAAGCCGCTCTGGAAACACAGAAAGAGAAATGCCTGCTTTGAGTAATCCTAACATACCTATTACACAACGAACTGTAATTAAATGTTGCTGCGGCAAAGTTTGTAAAGGCAATCGGGGTTTGAAAATGCACCAGCGTAGCTGTCAAGTCTTACATGGGCTAAACAACGAGTTATGCGCAGATCTTGAGGAGCAAATTGCAGATAACCCTGAGAATAGTATAACGGACGACCACCCACCCACTACACAGTCAAATTTAGACAGTGAAGAAATTACTCCTGATCTAAAGAAAGGCATAAATCTTCCGAAGAAGGACTCTGAATGGGAAACGGCCAACGATTATTTTAAATTTGCAATCCCTTTTAATGGACCAATCATATCGCAAGATTTCAATTCAAGTATAAGGCATTTAAATGATACTATATATAATTACTTTGTTGATAATTTTGGAAATGTTGAGACAGCCCCCGACAAGAAACTCGTAGCAAAGTACAAAAATCATTCTATAAAGGATCTAAAGAAGGCTTTAAGCAATCTAAAGTCCACAAATTCGGAGGTAGCCGAAATAAAATATGTGTCTCGTATTCTGCGCAATAAGCTTCGTAACCATGGTGATATTCAGACAGACTCCGACCGAGACAACTCGTTTAATCATGACAAATACATAGAAAGAAATTTTTGGGGTTATGTTAAAAACGTTTTAAATAAGGAAGATACTGTGTTCCCATCCTTCAGCATGACAGAATGTGCGGTTTATTTTACTAAAACCTTAGCTGCAGTTCACCCTGGCAAACTGTTTCATATTCCTAGCTGGATTCCTAGGTTATCTGGTCCACAAGTGCAATTTGACCTTGACCCGCCTTCTTACCAACAAGTTACTGCTGTTATTCGTAAAATGAAAGCATCTGGTTCTCCTTGTCCTCTCGATCAAATATCAATTATATGCTTTAAGCGATGTCCTTACCTAAGAACTTATTTAACTGAACTAATACGCGCCATCTGGCTTTCAGGATCTATCCCGAGTGAATGGAAAAAAGCTTGCACTATACTTATTCATAAGAAAGGCAACACGAGTATTCCCTCAAATTTCCGACCGATCACACTCGAATCTATACCGCTTAAAGTATTTACATCATGTCTACGTAACGCAATGTACTCCTTTCTCAAGGCCAATAACTTTATAGAACATAACATACAAAAAGGCTTCACCCCAAATCTGTCTGGTACTATGGAACATACTGCGCAAATGGCTAATATAATCAACAAAGCTCGGATAAAACAACGTTCACTTGTCATTGTAGACAAACTCACAATACGAGTGTTGTTTTCAATAAATATATTTCTAACTAACAAACTTTTACAACAACAACATGTTATATATCATGCAAATTTGAATAAATCTAAATAACCTAAATTGTCTATTGTCCTAAATTGAATATAAACCAACTAATGTCAAAAACACTAGTAATTAACGACCTATTAATGACACTCCCACTTTTTTTTGACATTTTTAAATGTTAAATTAAACAATAAGTTCTAGTCCAAGAGCATATCGGAGTTTCACGAACTGAGATTTCGATAACGGTTTCGTTAGAATATCTGCGACCATTTCACTTGTTGGAACGTACTCGAGAGCAATAACTCCACTTTGTAGCTCCTCACGAATAAAATGATAGCGTGTATCAATGTGCTTGGTTCTTGCATGCGATACAGGATTCTTCGCTATCGAAATAGCTGCTTGGTTGTCTTCGTAGATCACAGTTGCTTCAGCTAACGGTTGACCAATATCACCAAGTAACTGACGAAGCCATATCGTTTCTTGCGTAGCGAAACTCAAGGCGACATACTCTGCCTCTGCTGTCGACAGTGCAACTGTTGGTTGCTTCTTACTCAACCAGCTTACTGCTCCACTTGCCATAATTAATGCATTACCACTAGTAGAATGTCGGTCATCAAGGTCACCTGCCCAATCAGCATCGGAGTAGACCGTTAAACTTTCGTCAGTGGATCCATCGTACTTCAAGCCAAGATTTTCAGTTCCTTTTAAATATCGTAGAACTCGTTTAGCAGCAGTTAGATGTGCTTCCGACGGTTTAGCACAAAATTTTGACAAAACTCCCACTGCATATGCAATATCTGGACGAGTGGCGACTGCAAGATAAAGTAAACTTCCGATGATGGACTGGTATTGCGTTGGATCAACTAGTTTACTGACTCTGTCTTCTTTGATTAACTTGACATTCACGTCAGCAGGCGTTGCGACCGTTTTAGCTTCAGCTTGTCCAAACTTTACGACTATTTTGTTAATGTACTGTCTCTGGTGTAGCCATAG